TAAAGTTAACGCTACGCAATTTTAGGAAACGTACGGGCCACTACAGGAGCGCCCAAATTCATCCAACTAGAAACGTTTCTACTCTATTTTTTTCCGTGGCCAATAGCTGGGCCAAGTACTGGTGGTTTAAGAGGGCTGTTTCACTTGGAGGGGGTGGGACAGGCAGGAAGGGGGAATTTCAGTTCTGCGAGGGTATACTTTAGGGGGATTTGTATACCGTTGGGGGAGCGGAAGTGGCCGTTTAAAGGGCTGTCCTGATCTGGGGCTGGCGAGGTGTGGGGGCGCCTTCCGGTGGAGGCAGTGAAAGGACAGGGGGTTGTTTCTTATTGAGGGACGGAGTAACGCTGTGAGATCTTCACTTGTACTTGAGTCCTGCATAAACGATGAAACCTCCAGAGGGAGAGAGACTGGTTTCCCTCCCTTTTCCTTTTCTTGTGGAGGTGGAGCGCGTGGATCTCATGTTTTCTGAATAGTTGCTTTCGGCCTTGAGTTATGTCCTTATGTTTGCTAAAAACAAAAAAGAAAAAAAGAAAAAAAGTTATTATGTTTTTTGCTGGAGTGTGCTGATTGCGTTTTCTTGCAATCATTTTGATGAGGAGGTTTCATGGGGTTGGTTGAAACGCGTCCTGCGCTGAAGGGGGCTAGCCATTAGGATGGAAGTACGGCGCAGCACCAGTGGAGATGGTGGCTGCGTCGTGGTAAGTCTTGCCGGAGGGGGGTTGAGAAGGATAGAGTGAGGTGCTGGCGGAGGACTGCAATCAGCGCATGGGGGGGCTGGACGGTTTGGAATCGTAGTCGGGTGATGGTCGGCGGCTTGTCTGATACCTGCTGACGCTTTTGTCTCAAGTGGCTCGTGAATGGACGAGGCCAGAACGACGTTGGCCGGTGCTGGGGCCGTCGCGCAGCCCTGTAACCTGAGCAGTACGGGGGCATGAGGCCTGGTAGAGAGAGATCTGTGGAGTTGTTGGAAGGCACTCCGAGGTCCGTTGGCAAGCTGGTACTTGAACGATACTGGCCGGAGCCGGGGCCGATAGCTCCGCCGTGTAGTCCAGCAGGTAGGGGATCTTTCCGGAGTGGGTCGCGCTACTCTGTGACATAGCAGATGGAGGTGTGAGGCTTGGTTGAGGCTGGGTATCGAGGCTAGCGCTGGGGTAGGTTCAGGATTGGGTTGTTGAGTAGCACTGAGGCTATTAGTTTAAGAGTGCAAGCTCCCATGAAACGAGTATTTGACGTATTCGAGGTTACTCATGACAGTCGCAACTGAGGACATCTCTCATAGGGTTGTCATAGTTGTCTTAGTTAGCTCCACTTTTTTTTGAAATGTGTTCTAGTGGATGTTACTCTGGAAGGGTTCTCCGTAGTTTGCTCCAAAGTGTGGTTCCTTTTAGCCAAAGCTGGGCAATGGCTCAGGTAACTCATGTGCCTCAACAAATGTCCTCAGATTTGTTTCGAATGGGACGCTGGGCCCGGTTCCCAGCATGTGCTGCTCCCCACAAATAGATTGGAGCAATTTGTTCCCCCCCCACTTCCCCCCCGCCCCCCCCGAAAAAAAGAAGAAAAAAAGGAATACCTTGGCTGGATGTCCATGCTGACAGTACACGTCCACTCTGCTCAGCCCAGTGCAGATCTGGCACACATTCAAATTTAGAAACACAGGATTTCAGCCGACAGCCCCGTTAGGTCTGAAGAGGTGGCTTGACAAAGGGGTCCTTGGTTATGGCTAGACTCCTATTTGCAATAAGTCAGATATTCTACTACCTGCTCATTCAATCCCCTGGTGACAAGTGTAATCAATGCTGACAGGTCGATACAGTTAAGCTCATTTTCCGGATGTATAATGGATGTATAATGGGACGCTCGACCCGTTTTCCAGCAGGTGCCGCTCCCCACCAAAAAAAAAAAAAAAAAAGGAAGAAAAAAAAAGGATTTCAGCCTCAAAACTCAAAAGCATGCGACTGGGCCCCACTTGGCTTGATTCTTTGTTCTGGACCGTATATTACAAGGACTGATGGACACTGGACTCTGTTTCCAGCAGGCGTAGCTGCCCACCAATAGATTGGAGCCATATTCTGCTCTTATCACCTCCACAAATAGGCCTTCCACAGATGTTAAAAAAAAGGGGTAACAACCCGGGAGTTAAAGAAACCAGTTATAACTGCACTATGGGCCAAGCTGCAGTTTGCAATGGCACTTCAGGCACCATACCTGGCCAGAAAGCTGGTTGTATACATTGCCCGAGCTACAATTGCAAACTGTATCTTGGCCCATAGTGCAATTATAACTCATTTTTGTGACTCCCGCGTAGCTTCCCCTGAAAGACAAAACAAGAAGGATTGATATGCCCGTTTCCCAGACATCCGCTGTGGCTCAGTGGTTAGGGTGCCGGTTGGAAATGCGCATTGTGGTCTGAGGTTGCGGGTTCAAAACTCCGCCCCCACAAGCAGGGACACTGGCGGACGTTTGCATAGCGCACAGCCATTTGCACATTTGCACACCCCCCCTGGGCTGGTGCAAGGTAAGGATTACAGACACTGCCTGTGCACCACCCAAGGGGTTTAGCGTATGCTAGGCCTAGGCTATGAGAGGGTTGCCTGACGTTCTTGGTCCATTGCGGGGTTCAGTACCTGATAAACGAAAAAAGTTTAAAAATTGTGGCGATGCAGACAGGGTTGTGGGAGACTGGTCACGTAGAATTGGTGCCAAGGCCATACCTCAGGAAACGAGGAAAGTAGAACACTGTATTGGATGATCTATGTAAGGGACGCTGGACCCGGTTTCCAGCAGGTGCCGCTACCCACCAATAGATGGAGCAGCCCGTCAGCTAAACTCTCAATTCTGGTGGTTCTCTCATCACCACTGGGATAATGTGGCATACTGCGCAGCCACATGGGCCTCCAGGGCCTGTCCCGCAGTCTCAGCCTAAAAGCCTAGAAACAAGGGCTTACAGGCCCTGTGTCCTTTCAGCCTGAAAGACTGAAAAACGAGGGCCTGCAGGCCCTATGTCGTTTCAGCCTAAAACAGGGCCTTCAGGCCCTGAGTCTTCTCAGCCTGAAACGGAGGGCCACTTTCGGGCCCTCATAAGATCGACCTGCCCTAACACTCAGGCACCAAACCAGGGTTTCGGGAACAGGCTATTTTTGACCTGTTCCCACGCCAGCCTCAGCAGGAGCTGCAGCGGCAGGCCCTGGCTCACCTCGGCATTGGCAAGAGCAGCCTCCTGGACTGCCCCGCCCTGCAGCTGCAGGCAGTCAGGAGGCAGGCCGAGGTAGTACATAGGGAGTTCCCATGCACTTCACGGGCAGTCAGAGGCCGAGGCAGTAGTAGTCTTCAGGATTCGGCAGCAGCACTCTGGAGGAGCGCTGCAGGAGTAGCTTAGCGCTAGCAGTGGTCTTCAGCGCTGGACGCTAGTAGCAGTAGCAGTAGTCTTCAGCGCTGGGCGCTAGTAGAGGTAGAGGAGGTGAGAGAGAGAGATGGCTGGTGGAGGCCAGGGAGACTTACCTGTGGCGCCATATCTCCAGCTTCATCTTCAAGGTACCTGCATCAAGGCGCCAACTTCACAGGTTAGTACCGGACACAGAGAGAGAGAGAGAGAGTTCTTATTCTTCCTCTTCTAAGTCCACCATCTCTTCTTCACCCTCTTACTACCTGACTTCTCAGTATCAGCGGACTACGACAGAGAGAGAGAGTTGTGACTTGAGACTTGACGACATTGGATCCAGACTCGACATTGGGATTCAGACATTTTGACGAGGGACTATTTGGGCCGGTGCCGAAGACTTGGTGTTGACGACATTCCCTTCTTCCCCTCTTCTTCGTCTAACCCCCCCCTCTTCTTCGTCTGTGTATGGCTGGGGACTGGCGCATTCTTCCTGTGTGAGCGCCAGGCCCCTTCACACCATGGAGTGATGATGATGATGTATGTTTGGGGCTGCATTGCAATATTGATTGTTCGGATCATTGGTATCTAAGTCTTCCGCTACGCTATCTTGTACTTTGTGAGAGAGGTCGGTTCTTGTTCTGGTCTGCACCATTACAGTATGCAACAGTTTGGTATCGGAGCGGACCTCTCATTCAGAGGACCCGCTCAATCAAGTAGCCAGCTTGCTTGATCTATTGATTACTCATTAGTAAATCAAGTAGGACTTCGTCAAATCTCTGAATTTTTTTTCTCGCAACAAATATCTGAAAATTTTTGATAATCGCATTTCGTTTTACCTAAAAATTTCTGATATTAGTATTTCGTTTTCACGCAACAAATATCTGAAATTTTTGATAATCGCATTTCGTTTTATCTGAAAATTCCTGATAGTAGCATTTCATTTCTCTGATATTCGCATACATAGCCGAAAATTTCTGATGTTAACATTTCGTTTTCTAGGCACATTAGGATAACGATAGAAGTGGTCATATTCTCGGAAACCGGATTTATTCTTTTCTGAAAATCGAATCTCCATTCTATCTCGCAAAATTTTTGAAAACCGAAATCTTGCGAAGCCTACTAGCATTTCGTTTAGGCATATTAGGATGTTGCCATATTCTCAGAAACTGGATTTAGTTCTTTTCTGAAAAACGCATCTCTACTATATTTCGCAATTTTTTATTTTTTTTAAATCGCATTTTTGTAAAAGCCGAAACTTTGTGGATCCTGGCCTAGATCTCTCTCATAGTATTCTTCTGACATGCCTTACTCATAACAGATCGACAGATATACAAAAAAAAAAAAAAGGCGGGGGTGATCCTCTTCTTTTATTTTTTATTTATTTTATTCTGTTGATTAGGACCGAGAGGAAAGTATAGCTGGGTTGGTTACCTACTTGCGTTTTCCCTCCCACCCACCCCTTTGCATGCATTCCCGGGTTGGTACAGTGCCACGTCAGCAACAGTGCCACATCAGCAGTGCCACATCAGCAGTGCCGCCACGTCAGCAGTGCCACGTCAGCAGTGCCACGTCAGCAGTGCCACGTCAGCAGTGCCACGTCAGCAGTGCCACGTCAGCAGTGCCATGTCAGCAACAATGCCACGTCAGCAGTGCCACGTCAACAACAGTGCCACGTCAGCAGTACCACGTCAGCAGTGCCCCGCCACCATGACGGGCTCAGTTCTGGGCATGCCAGGCCAACTGGCCAATGAGTCCATTGCCGAGTACCGACAACGTTTCGAAGCTCAGCTCGCACTGATTGTGGCCGAGGAACAGCGTCAGGTGGAAGCCGAGGCTGCCCGCCTACAAGCTGAAGCGGCGGCAACAGTTGAAAAGCAGCGGCTTCAAGCCGAAGCCGAAGCAGATACCCAGGCACGCCACAAGGAGGCCCAGGATCTGTTACAGCGGCATGAAGCCACCAGCATCGAAAAACTCAAGTTTTGGCATTTTGAACCATCTGAGCAGCATGACGACGCGACACCGGAAGAGCAGCACAAGGAGTTCCTGGCCAAACTCGTGACCCGGTTGGTTTACACTAGTAACCACCTGCAGTCCGAGCTGGTGAATCTCCGACGGGCGGTGCGGAACCACAAGGATCTGCACGAAGATGCTACACGGGCACTTGATTCCCGTGTACAGGACTTGGAGCAATCTGCACCAAGACCAGATGCCGGCGAGTCCAGCAGTGCACCCTCTACCCGCCAATTGGAGGAACGAGTTGACCACGTTGTCGCAATGCTCGACGACATCAGCACCTTCGCTGCACCAGCCACCATCAGCAAGCAACTGGACACCTTGAAGACTAAGGTTCAGCAATTGCACCAGCTGCCCAACAAGGATGGCAACACCACACACTGGCAGCACTACAAGATGTCGACATTCCGCATCGAAAAGTTCGATGATTATACGCATCAAGACCCGGTCCCCTGGTGGGAGGGCTTTACGACGGAACTTCGGATTCTTTTCGTCCCCGAGCACTCGTACATCGGCGCGCTGTTCCTCAACTCAAAGGGCGGATGCCAGATCTGGCTTAGCCACCTGGCAACCATCCACGGCGTCGACGTCGCCGATCTGCACACAAAGATTCCTTGGGCAGATCCGACGAAGCTATGGAAGAAGCGGTTCATCGTGGACGATGCCTCGACGCTCGCCATCAACCGTCTCTTCACTATGACGCAAGGCAACACATCGACACGCGACTGGCTCACGGAATGGCAAAAGATCGCGGCAACGCCCGGTCTCGAATTGCCATTTTCTCATCTGCGCCAGGAGTTCTACAACCGGTCATGTGCCGCCTTGAGCCTTGCACTTGGTGATCGCGAGCAATATGCGACCTTCGCCGAAATCATCGACAAGGCAAAGGAGGGCGGCTACACACGAGAAGTCGGCATGGCAGCCAACCTATGTGGAGAAAGGAAAATTTAGTCCGCGTTCGCAACATGTCGCTGCAGTCCACTCGGACAACATTGTGGAAGACCCGGCAGCCACCCAAGCATCACGTGAGGGAGATCAGGTGGCTGCTTTCCAGCCACGAAGCAACAACAACTCCCGAGGAAAAGGGAAGGCGAAAACCGCATCGTCGGCCGGAAACGGACAGCCAGCACCATGGGTCAAGTTTCAAGTGTAATACTTATTTGTTTATTTTTTTTGCTATTCTAGCACAAGACCTCCGAATGCCCGGATCAAGGCAAGGAGGATGTTCGGCCTCGCAGCAACTCGGGAAATTGCGCGGGAGGTAAGGCGACTCCACCTCTCACTCCGCCAGATTCGGCCGCCTTGCTAGCGGCCTCCTACACATCTGGGGAGGATGCGAATGTCGCAAGTCCTCGGTTTACTTACGAGGATTATGCTGTCCACTTGCTCCCACCGTTGGACCAACCACTCCACGTGCAACAATCCACCGCATGCACGGTTTCACTACCATCGGCAACCGAATCGGCAACTTCGCCGCCATCTATCGCCGGGGATTCGACGACATGGTCAAGACTTGAAGAGCTCGACCCGTTGACGTTTGCGGACTTCCAATGGATGCCCCTTCCCCGGTCCGGTCGATTGCCGAAACCGCATTGCAACGTGCTCATGGCACAATTGCGGGATTACTTGCACACTGCAGTACCAACTCCGTTGATGGATGTCGGAGTAGAGGTTGTCGACCTTCACGCCTACATTGCGAAGATCGACCGCGAGTTCAAGACACAACGGTACGACGACATTGACGCACCATTGTTGTACATATGCATTCAGATTGGAGAGGCGACCTGCAGCGCTTTGATTGATTGCGGAGCTACTCGCAACTACATGAGCCAAGACTTCATGGTATGCGCTGGCCTTGGGCCACGCGTTCGGAGGAAGTCACAGCCCACGCAAGTTACGTTGGCCGACAGTCACACGCACAAGTCAATCGACCGGTGCATTGATGTCGTCCCCATGTACTTTGCCCCGCATGCAAGCGAGGCCGTGTCCTTCGATATTTTGGACACCAAGTTCGACATGATCTTGGGCATGTCATGGTTGTAAAGCGAGGATCACCCGGTGAACTTCTACCGCCGCACCATTCACGTTCGTGATCGGAACGGAGTACTAGTCCCATGCACGGTGCCTCCTCCTCACCCTTCGATCAGCTGCCACGTGGTGTCCGCCGCAAGCATTCGAGCTTCCATCATCCGGGATGACATCGAGGAGATGGGGGTGTGTTTTCTCCACACCCTCCCGCCCCAAGACATTCTATCGACGGACTCACCACCTGACCCAGGCATCACCGAGCTTCTCGACGCCTACGACGACGTGTTCGAAACACCACACGGAGTAGTACTGGATCGGCCCATCCGCGACGAGATCATCCTTGAGGACGGGGCCGTACCTCCGCGTGGTTGCATCTACCGCATGAGCGAGGAAGAGTTAAGTGTGCTAAGGGCACAACTCGACGATCTTCTCGAGAAAGGTTGGATTCGACCTAGCTCTTCGCCATACGGTGCTCCCGTTCTCTTCGTCTGGAAGAAGAACAAGGAGCTACGGTTGTGCATCGATTATCGCAAGCTCAACGCGTAACCGTCAAGAACATCGCTCTTCTTCCGCGCATCGACGATCTCCTCGAACGACTGGGCGGCGCCAAGTTCTTCTCCAAGCTTGACCTCAAATCAGGATATCACCAACTCGAGATCCGGCAGGAGGACCGCTACAAGACCGCGTTTAAGACGCAATATGGGCATTTCGAATGGTTGGTCATGCCTTTTGGCCTTACGAATGCCCCGACCACATTCCAAGCGGCTATGACAACGGAGTTCTGACACATGCTGGATAGATTCGTACTCATCTACCTCGACGACATCTTGGTGTACAGCCGGAGTTTAGACGAGCATGTGGAGCACCTGCGCACCGTTTTGGAGCGGCTACAACAAGCCAAATACAAAGTCAACCGCGACAAATGCGAATTCGCGCGGCGAGAGCTGGAGTACTTGGGACATTATGTGACACCGCAAGGCATCCGTCCACTTGTGGACAAGATCAAGGCCATCCGCGTATGGCCCGAGCCCACCAACACCACGGACATTCGTTCATTCATGGGATTGGCGGGCTACTATCAACGCTTCATCACCGGGTACTCAAGGATTGTCGCACCTATGACGAGATTACAATCTCCAAAGGTGCCATTCGTATTCGATGATGATGCACGCCGGTCATTCCAAGCACTCAAGATGGCCATGCTCATGGCACCTGTCCTTAGCATCTACGACCCCACCCTGGCAACAAGAGTGACAACCGACGCTTCCGGCTATGGCATTGGGGCAGTCTTGGAACAACACGATGGCGACGACTGACACCCTGTGGAGTATTTCATCCACAAAGTGCCTCCCATCAATTCACTTGATGATGCAAGGAAGAAGGAGCTGCTCGCATTCGTGATGACTCTCAAGCGATGGCGGCACTTCCTCCTTGGGCGTCGAAGGTTCACATGGGTCACGGACAATAACCCATTGACCTACTACAAGACGTAGGATACGGTGAGCAGCACGATCGGACGATGGATGTACGACATCGACCAATTTGACTTCACACCGAAACGTCTCCCCGGCCTCTCCAATCGCGCAGCAGATGCACTCTCGCGAAGACTTCCGCGACTCTCCAATCGCGCAGCAGATGCACTCTCCCCGGCCTCTCCAATCGCGCATCATGCCTTCGCATTTGATGAGGAACTTCCGCGACACTTCATCCGGGGCTATCAGTCCAATCCGGATTTCGCCATGCTGTATGCGCAACTATCTTCGGATCACCCGCCGACCAAACATTATCACATCGTCGACGGGTACTTGCTCCTCCACTCGAGAGGCAAGGACTTATTGTGTGTCCCACACGACCGTCGTTTTCGGACTCGCCTTCTCGGTGAGTACCATGACTCGCGACTCGCCGGCCATTTTGGAGTCAATCGCACTATTGCACGACTTCAGCAACGATTCCGATGGTCTGACCTCATTACCGATGTCACTCGGTATTGCGACTCTTGCGAAGTTTGCCGACGAAGCAAGCCCCGCAACCGCAATCCCTACGACGAGTTGCGCCCAATGCCTATCCCACAGGAACCCGGGCTCTCCATTGCCATGGACGTCACCGGTCCGTTTCCCCGTGACCGGCTCGTGCACGACGGCATCCTCACGGTCGTTGACCGTTTGAGTAAGTATGCGCGATTTCTTCCTTGCAAGTACTACGCCACGACTCCCGAACCTGCGCGCCTCCTACACACCAACTGGATTTGCAGCCATGGCATGTCAGAAGACATCGTCAGCGACCGCGACACTCACTTCATGTCGGCATTTTGGACTTCTCTCATGCAGGAATCCGGCACGAAGATGAAACCAAGTTCAACTCGGCATCCACAAACGGACAGGCAAAGGGAGCGGGCACATCAAACCGCTCAAATGATGCTTCGTACCCTCATCCGTCCGGATCAGATGGATTGGGTTCACCGCCTCCTCGACATCGAGTTCGCCTACAACACTTCGTTGCATCCGGCGATCGGCGTAATTCCATTCGAGTTGCACAACGGTGGTCGGAAAGGCCGTATATTCGCTGGTCTTCTCCTTCCATGAACAGCCGACATAGACGCTGCTTTCTCCCCCGCTTCCGTTCGGAAGTACAGGGAATTGCTGGCTCAAGCCCGCGCGAACATGCAAAAGGCTCAAGTCCGCATGCAGCAGCAAGCCAACAGGCATCGCGTGCCATGTCCCATCCGCGCCGGTGATCTGGTGTGGGTCTCCGCAGAAGAGTTTGCACTCAAACAGGATGTTTCATGCAAACTGCTTCCCAAGTGGTTTGGACCATGGCCCGTAACATCAATCGCGGGCGATGAGCCCGATGACCCCTCATTTGTGATCAACATTCCCCCGCATCTGACGGTCCATCCAGTTTTTCATGCCTCGAAGCTGGCAACATATACACCAGCCAAGAGCGACGACTTCCCGAGCCGAAGATCGCAAGATCCTCCATCTATGGATGGTCATCAGGAGGTTGACCGCGTCATCACGGATCGCAAGTACGGCAACAAGCCTCGACAATACAAAGTTACATTCAAAGCATGCGATCCCGACGACATTCGGTGGATTTCATGAACAGATTTGAAAGCATCCGCACCGCTGATCTACGTTCACTACGAGCCACAAAGGTTAGCTCAAGGAACTTCACGAACTGCCCCTCCCACCCGGACTGTGGTCCCTCCCTCAGACAGACAACTTCGCCCTCGCAGGTAAGCTCGGTCTTTCAAGGAGGGGGGGATGTGGCATATTGCGCAGCCACATGGGCCTGCAGGGCCTGTCCCGCAGTCTCAGCCTAAAAGCCTAGAAACAAGGGCTTACGAGCCCCGTGTCGTTTCAGCCTGAAAGACCAAAAAACGAGGGCCTGCAAGCCCTATGTTGTTTCAGCCTAAAACAGGGCCTTTCACGCCCTGAGTCTTTTCAACCTGAAACGGAGGGCCACTTTCGGACCCTCATAAAATCGACCTGCCCTAACACTCAGGCACCAAACCAAGGTTTCAGGAACATACTATTTTTGGCCTGTTGCCACGCCAGCCTCAGCAGGAGCTGCAGCGGAAGGCCCTGGCTCACCTCGGCATTGGCAAGAGCAGCCTCGTGGACTGCCCCGCCCTGCAGCTGCAGGCAGTCAGGAGGCGGGCCGAGGTAGTACATAGGGAATTCCCATGCACTTCACGGGTAGTCAGAGGCCGGGGCAGTAGTAGTCTTCAGGATTCGGCAGCAGCACTCTGGAGGAGCGCTGCAGGAGTAGCTTAGCGCTAGCAGTGGTCTTCAGTGTTGGGCGCTAGTAGAGGTAGAGGAGGTGAGAGAGAGAGATGGTTGGCAGAGGCCAGGGAGACTTCCCTGTGGCGCCATAGCTCCAGCTTCATCTTCAAGGTACCTGCATCAGCCAACTTCACAGGTTAGTACCGGATAGAGAG